TAGCAGTAAAACTGAACTTTTCTTTTGGCATCAGAAGTGACCAAAGAACATGAAGAAAATTGTTATCAATATCCATTACCCATTTTTAATGACGTTTCATAATACGATTCATAAGAGAATCCAATAGTTTTCTTAGGGAAAGATAAAATTACTTTACTTGTAAGTATATTCCCACTACATTCGTTGAAGCAGTTTATTGATTTAGGTCATTGATAAAATTTGATTAACCATATAAAGAGCTTTCGTGCGTTTTAACCCAGTTAGGAATAAAATAAGGGAAATTACAACAAAAATGTCAAATACAACATTGCAAAATATATTTTCTAAGAACGAAATGATCGAAACTTGACACATGAAACAATATATCAAATAAACCACAGGTCTATTTTTAACATGTAACATTTTTTAAAATGTTTACTTTTTACAAATAAATATTATAAACAAAATTCTTTGCATTTTCTGCGTATTACATGATCAATTAATTAATTTCTGCTAACAATACACAACTAAATACCATTTGCTAACAATTGAAATGTCAACAAACAAAAGCTCTCCTAGAACTTTGGCAGAACTTTTTGACACATAGAAGCTGCTTCTCATGCATAAAACAACTTATGTCAATGTAAACAACCGAATCTTAATTTGATTAATATAAATTGATTTAGCTGCAGTGGGAACATGATATATGATCAAAAATTTAGATGAGTGTAAAACATCCTGGCAACTCTAATATTGTATTTTGTTCACATATCCCTTCCATAGAAAGTATTAAAAGCAATTAAGCTAAGACTCACTGAAGTATTTCTGTATTTTTGTAGATAAAATGTGTGATTAAGTATCGCTGTCATTATCACATTAAATATTTAATTTTATTGTTGTTTTGATTTGATATGAAATTAATTCGCTTCGACTATAATGAAAGAGGCATTAGTCATTATCGCCTTTCAATATAAAACAAAACATAAAAATAGATTTTCCCAAAAAAAATTCGGTAAAGTTCAAAAGCGAACCGTTTTCGGAAAGCGTTATGTGAAAATTGTCTAATTGTGGTAAAGGTGAAGCCAAACACGCACAAGTGCGTGTCTCAAATGGTTTCATCGTAAATTGGTGCTCAGGTGTTCTACCTTCTTTTATTGTTATTGCACGTATTTACTTATAATTAAACCCAGACAACAGGTGGATTTATACTTTGTATTGGCGAGATTAGGAAAGGATTTAAACTGGTTTAGGAATCATTCAAATATTTTTTGTATAATAAAAACTGTAAGAGAAGATATAAGATATTTATCTATTCCAGTTGTTGTGGAAAAATTTCAAACTGATTTTTTTTAAATGTAAATGTTTTGATATAATAAAGAAAAAAGAAAAATTCTAATTATTTCCATATTCTTAAAATATTGACCATATTTGCACATTAATTTATGATTATTCTTTTTAGCAAGAGATCCTTTACATTAATACAGAAAGAATATACAAAGACAGATAGATTTTAGAATGGTATCCCCCGGAAGTATTGAAGAGATTTGAACTATATTGATTTCTACACCACACAACTTATGTAGTTGCTTATGTAGTATATACTGTTCAACTTATGCTGAACAGTATATAATATAACCATAACTATGAGATGCAGTTGTATTGAAAAATAATAAATAATAATATAATATAAACAAAGCTAATATCAACTTAATCGTTTACAGGGTAAAATAGTTGTTGTTCGTTGCGGCGATGGAAAGATAGATCATTTTCTTAACAACCTCAACGTTATCAAGATTTTCTTGACAACCTCAAGGTTACCAAGATTTTCTTGACAACCAGCCGTCATCTCAACGTCCGACCCTCGCAGATTCTCTCGACATATGCATCGTGTTGCACTCTTTCACAGGCAAGCCAATTTTCGCAGATAAATTTTCGATAGCAGCATATGCAGCAGTAACATCACACTGGCTACGCCTCAGTAATTTTTCAAATTATTACGAAAACTTCAAGTTCTTTAAAACATTCATTTGGAGCAAATTTCCGAATTTGATGATGGATATGAATATTCTGATAAATATGATTACTCTAATTTTAAGTATATGAACCAGAAAAGATTAATATCGCATAAACATCATCATGAGAGCTTATAATACCTCGGACCGGTCTTCCACCATTTCAAAATATCTTCTTCATCTATTTCCATTCAACAATTTGAACCTACACTGTCAGATTGTTCATTCAATTTGCCTGTGGTCTTCCTTAAACTCTTATTCTTCAGAGTTCTTAATATTTTCTGCTAAACATATTGTCAGCATCAACTCTGGTACAATATCTACTCCACTATATACATAAAAAATTTCGTACCAAACCAAACTCCTTTTTGAGAATTTATTTCTTGAAGGTTTTTATGCAAAAATCTGTGCTTTACTATCGGAACTGGCTTTAAAGGATCTTGTATACCAACATCTTCATTCCTTGCATAGCAGCTTGCTTTGAAATCGTTTATTTAGACAGTAATTAGTGCTTTGAGCGAGTAAAGTTTTCTTATTAGTTATTACTTTTGATCCCAAGTATTTAAAAGACCTACTAGAACTTGTCACTTCCTGTTTCTAGTATTCGCATTCGGAAGCTTTGTCATTTTGCAACAAGCAATATCTTTACCTGCTGCATCTTTGTGGTTTTCGCATATACCTTCATAGCAGTTTAGATGACTAAGTAAAAATAATCCCATACTGCCTTTTTCAATTAAAGAGTAAATATAACGGGATCAGTATGAATAATGATTTCAATGTCCGATCATTTTGACTTTTGAACCCAATATTTTTATAATAGTTAAAATCTCATAATTACTACGGTAAAAAATAGATCAGTAAAGATATTATTCTCAAGTAGCTTGAGTAATATTTTTGGACTGACCACACAATTCTTTCCGATACTACCAAATATCTGTAATTGAAAATGAAGACTAATGGAATCTATATAGAATTTTAGATATAAAAGTAAAAAATAAAATATTGAATTTTAGTTCACTTTGATTTATTTATTTATTTCTTAACTTTTATATTATTGAAATAAATGTACCAATTAGATTTAATTGTATCTGGCAACACTATAAGTGGATATAACAATAAAGTGAAATTTCAAATTCTTCAATTTCAGATATAAAAAATTTATTTATTTATGTTTATTTAAAATAAAGAACTTTATTTGCAGTTGTTCGGTATATAGCTATAAATGATTTAGGTGTTTAGACATTTTCAGCTCAGAATATAGTGAATGCAAACCTTGATATACGTGTGTTATATGTACTAGGTAATTTAATAATAAATGAGAGGAAAACTTACAAAAAAACAGTTCCAACTTTAACAAAAATGTATTTAAACTAAAATATATTAACAAAAATTTAAAAAAATGATTCCGGTAAATTACCTCTTAAATATACATAATTGGAAACTAAACATTTTCCCAAAAATTTTTTTGCCAACTTTTTTAAGCTATTTCGAGCCATTACTATTTTTCCTGAGTTGTATATAATTCTACTAATAAAAGCGAATAAAATTATAAATGATTGTAAGTAATTTTATTTATTTTGTTTATTATTTATATTTATTATATAGATTGTCAGTTATTTGAGATTGGTAATAGAAGTACCAATCCAGGATAGCATAAGATACTATGAGAAAGAACACAATCTTCATTTTTAATATCTTATAATAGTGAGGTTTCGAAAAGTAGTGAACTACAACAACAAAAATTGTTTTTATATTATTTTTAATAAATTGAATTTTTGACTGATCAGACAGCAATACACATACCCAGGTAATGGTATTTGGTAATACAACAGTTTCTATTAAATAAAATAGTCACTACTGTCATATTGACGTTAAGATCAATTTAAATATATTATTATTATGTTGAGGCTAGTTGAGTCATTGCACTTGAGCACTTTTACTCTCTATTAACTGCGAGGTTCCTTCAAAACCCCTCTTTGCGCCTTGACTTTATTATTATTTATCACATCATCAGACTAAGTAATAATTGACCTCAGATCTGCATACCTCCCCGAGGAGCCTGTAACCATTCTGAGATTTGATAATGCGGTGTTAGTAAGTCTGTCAGATTTCGCAAATAATTTCAAGGCTCTATCCTTTATGTATTTTTTGATGGGATCAATCTTGAGGTCCCTAAGGATGTCATTCGTCCTAATATACCAAGGAACTTTGAAAAATCTTCTCAGAGCCTGGCTTTGTGCAATTTCTAGCTGGTGAATAGTAGTATTTGAAGCTTTGCTAAACGCTACACAACCATATAGAAGTGACGGACGAATTATTTGGTTATATATCAGTTTTCTGTTCTTAGCATTGAGATTTTCATTTCTATATATTATAATACTATAAAAAGAAATGAAAGCCAGTCCTGGACAGCATAGATTATTACGGGAACGGATACAACTTTCTTTGTAAACATTTTATAATATTTTTAAAATAATGAGTACTAATCCTGGATAACATAGAATATTACGGAAATGAATAAAAATTTGATTTTAAACAATTTATAATGCGATAAAAACAATGAATGCTAATCCTGGGCAGCAAAGAATATTACGGGAGAGAACATAACTTTCTTTTCAAAATCCCATAATGCAATATAAACAATGAATATATTCAATAATTTTATAATATATTTTATTAAAAAATTAATACAATTATAAAAACAAATCCTATATTGCTTTTATTTCTGTTTATTTAGAAAATATGATTTTTGTGTTTTTTTATTTGTCTCGTTTCTCAATCCAAAACAATTTTCACAATTCGAAATTCTCCAGCTCAGAGTACTGAATATATATAAGTTCATAAGATTATATTAAAGTACATTAAAAAACAATAATGAAAGTAAATAACTTCAGAATTCAACATATATCAATTTAGATTTAAGAGTATCTCTTCGATTCGTTAAACGATTTTGCTATATGCAACATATACTAGTGCATATACGCGTGCTACATTCAAAATGGCTTATAACGCCCTTAGCTAAATTTATAAATTAATTACATCAGTTAATACGTTAATAGTCAGTTGTTCAATATTTGGTTTTTGGTTTATTCGTTTAAAAATGTTTGTTCCTTATAATTGGTTTTATTTTTTTATTTTTTAGTATATATAACAAATATAAATAGTTTAGAACTTTATATATGTGTTCCACTTGTTCTTACTTTTAAGTGTATATGTAAGTTTTTTTTCTTTTTGTTTTAAATGTTATTAAATATATAAAGTGTGTTGTGTTTTATAAAAGGAGACCAATTCGATTGTTTTAGTATGGATAGAGATTTTTGCGTTTAAGCTCCATATCCAAATCAGCTAATTGTTGCAGGAAACCTTCGTTAGGACGTATGTCACGACGCATGCGTACTTTACGTATCGCATCCTGTGCAGACATTTTACGACAAATCATCAAATAAGCCAGCACACATGTAGCCGATCTGGACATACCAACAAGACAATGTACCAGAATTTTACCTACAAAGAGTGACACTCGTTATTTATATAAATAAATATTGTATATGTAATGTAATTTCTACTTACCGCCACCACTGATGGCGCTATCTATGAATTTTGCTGCCACATAAAAGTATCTGGATATATCTGTTGATGGGGCATCAACCATTGGGAAGCCCATATATCTAAAAAAAGTTTCTTTGTTGTTTCTTCTACTCTCGTTTTCATTTCAAGTGCAATATTTACAAAGCATATAAAAATAATTACGTACGTAGATGACGCAGTCAACAAAGCAAACAATATAAAAATTTTGAAAAAATTAATTTTGAAACCAAAAGAAATTTCGATAGAACAGAGGACCAAATTGTAAACCAGCAAATAATTATCAACAAAATAAAATCGAAGTTCAGGAAATATTTCACAAAAAAAAAAGATAAAACAATCCATATTTTTGACATAAAATCAAGAAATCAAATATTTCGTTTAAATGTCTTTTCTGTCCAAAAAGTGCAAACTTATCAATAACTTCATTATTACACTAACCTCACACTTGGCATATCACGGTAGTAACTGTGCCCAGTGTCCACTTGTCCATAACGACAACCTTCCGCGGCATTCAGTACATGTGTTATTCCCATCATACGCAGGTAAGTTTTATTTTTTGCTGCCGCACTATAGTTCCATGAAAAAAAAATACAAGAAATGGGAGCATTTTTAGTTTAAAAGTCAAAGTCATAACATTGAAGGCCACTTACGCATCGCCAATATAAATTCCTGGGTAAACTTCATCACAGTCAACATCATGCAAAACACATTCTGTCCTTTGAAAGCCTGGCAATGATCGGCAAGGCGAATAGTGCAGCACGCGCTGCAACTGACGGCCTGTGGTCTGCTCTGATGATTCCAGACGGCTTGGTGACTGTAAAATAAAATTAAAAAAAAAATTAAATAATAAATATAATAATAAAATGAAAAGACATTGACATTATTTCAAGTTCTTGCATTTAAAACGAGGTTAATACTACTTGCAACTGCCGATGCACAAATTCTTTTTAGTTAAGTAGCTTTTATGCTCTTGTGCTACTACACAAGGATATGTGAAGCTGGTATAGTAAAAGCTTTTCTAAGGTTATTCTCTTTTATAAACAATAAAAATACATTTTTTATAATTGCACCTAATCTTCTTCTTAAACCATGTGCAAGCTGTATAAGCTTTAACCCTGAAACTAAAAATGTTATTTGGGGCATGAAAGAGGTCATATCTACTCAACAGTTGGCATCCAGTTAGTTGCAAACTAACTTTAATTGAAGGCGAAACAACAAGTTCGTAAAGAAACAGCAAGGCAATTCATCCTATTAAATTGTAAAAGATATCATACTTTCATTATTTTTATTATTATTTTACTTATTATTGTGTCACAGGACATGTCAACAAAAAGCCTTAAAAAGATGGCATGCGGTTTATGGCCGTCTTAATTTAAGAAGACAGGTATAACCACTTCTGGAGATAGCAACGTTATTGTGTCTTAGCAAAAGTTTCACGATCTCAGGGTATCCATTTCGACCTATAGGCCCATTGTGTAACGTGTTTAGAAAAATACAGAGGTTTAGAACCTCTTACAAAACTTATAATGCTATTTAAGAAAAAGTTGTGCAGTTTACCAAGATCCTTTCAAAAGACCCTAAAGTGGTAAGGCGGCATCGCAACTTATACAAAACAGGTGGGTGGCACCTTCATGCTCCTCTCCACAACTGCGGCAGGTATACTTGAAAGAGATATTCAATAATCTTGCATGTTACCTAAAATGCAGTGATTTGTAAGTAAATCTACCACAAGACTGATATCTCTTCGGGGCATCTCAAAGTGCGAACTGGATTTCCTTATATTGGAACGTGGTCAAATTGTATACAGTTGCCAGTATATCATTGAGGCTTCCCATATTTTGTGTTTGCGGAATATTATCTTATAAGTCAACGAAACTTATAATCTATAATTACTAAACTTAGGAAAAGGAATACACATCTGCTCTGTTCTTATTCAGAACATAATAAAATATATAAATAACAACTATATGATGACTATATAGTGTCAATGAGGTTCCAATAAGGTAACTATAATGTGATATCAATAAAATAGTTTAACGAGAGTTAAAACTTCTCGAATTCTAGTGACTTTTGAGACTTTGAGGGACTTTTGAAGAATTCCAAGACTATATATACATACTTGGATTTCTATTTTTGAGAATTCCAAAGAGTTTCAGGCTTTTCGAAGCCAATCGAGGGTTCAAACAATACTAAGTTAAATTTTTAATACAAGATCATTAAGATACTGAATATTTAATGTACAATTTCTAAGTAAAGAAAGAAATATATAACACATATAATCACATATAAACGTTTATAGGCAACATTTGTAGGTTGAGCACCTGAACGCTACTACCTGTCTTTTATAAGTAACAGCTTTTATCTCCAGAATTACAAAATATATTAACTTCTTTTGCTATTAAATTAAGTAGTCAAAAACATATATATGTTATATAAACATATATATCTTTTTCATCTAAAGTTATTTACTTATTTATATATATAATAAATATATAAATATATATATATATATATATATATATATAAAAGTATATATATATAAATATATATATAGTAGATATAACGGACATATTCTGTGCACTTTATAATCTTGTCAAACATTGACACTTGTCCAAATTGACTGCTGTAAAGGGTTTGGTATTCTGTGACATAAATAAAAAGCTCTTTTCCTTGTTAGTTGTCAATACCTCAAATGCTGTCGACAACTATAAAAATATGCTCTTTTTAAGCATTTTTTATTATTTGCATGCATGACAAATATTCTTAACTACAATATACGCTCTTTACAAGCATATTTTTTATTGTTATTTGAATGCATGAAAAATGCTTTTGGCAACTTAAAATATGTGCTCTTTACAAGCATTTCTTACGAACAGTTACGAACAGTTACGAACAATTACGAACAGTTTTCTATACAAAACACTTTACACCATAGTGTGGTGAATAGCACTAGGTACTTGAGCTTTGAAATTTGTCAAGATGTGTCCAGAATACCAAAAAGCTTTATGCTTTATAAAAATCAAAAACTTTATTAAAGAATTTGGCAAATCTGTCAAGTGCACAGAATAGGTCCGATAATATATGTTAAATTTTCGGTGTAATATTCACAGGCAAGTAACTACTTGCTTTTTAATTTATTATTGTCATTTGTTGTTGCAAATAAGATCGACATGAATTAATTTCTACAAATAGAAACTCATAGTACACTGTCATAATTTATAAAATATTAAGTGGAATGGAGTCCCATCTCCAGTACCTACCTACATAGCTATCTTGATGTTATTTCCATGGATTATTTTAAAGTGAAATAAATATACATAATTTTAAAATTAAATTAGATATAAAAAACTGGAGTTCCTTGATCGGCATTCCCAGTATATACCTACCCATCTGTAAATGGGTACATAA